TATTAGGGGCTCCTGGCATCGCTACTAGGAGCCAGGACGCTACTAGGGGCTCCTGGCCGCAGAACCTCTTCCTCCAGGGTTTCAAACACCACTCGCCTCCCGCCCGTGGACCACCGAAGCGGGCCGCGTGTCGAAGTGTCAACGTTCGTTCGCTCACCACGGCGACCCGTCAGGGCCCCGCCAGCATCGTGAACGACACCCTCATCACCTGCCTGGGGCGCCGAGTCATCCGTGTCGGGAAGGGGAAACAGCGGAGGAAGGTGTTTGTAGGGGAAACAGCGCCTCTCCAGAGCGGAGGTGTAAGGAGGCGTTGGGAAACCCGTGTTGCTTTGGCCAAACATGGCCAAACCCCTGTTTCACAAGCTTCATCAGTCCAATCACGCCCGGCGAATCGCGCGACTTTGGCCGATATCATGCTGGAAATGCAAAGATGCATCCTTGGTGGCCGGGGGGGCTATGAAGAAGCTATGCGAACAGAATCCTCAGTTTCGGCATCCAAAGATCAAACATCTTCGAAGATGTTTCTTTGCACACTTAACCTTTCTTCATGTTTCAAAGAACACATTGTTTCCATTTCTCCGCCTAAACTCGTTCGCTGGAACTCGGGGTTCGAAAAGGTGTGGCACCCTCCAGCAGCTGCATGGATGTGCGAGGCGCCGCAGGCTACCAGGTGGGCACCACCGACGATTCGACGATTCGGAGCAATGCCGAGCGATGATGTTTGGTCTGAAGGAAGCAGGTCTTCGGTATCCCGAAATGGATATTGTTTCTACGTTCGCTTCTTGTTACTATACTAGTAAGGCACTTGTTACTAGTAGCGATGCACTTGTTCCTAGTAGCTTATTGTTTCTAATTTATATATTGTTTCTACTGTAAGGCCCTTGTTCCTAGTAGCGATGCCAGGAGCCCCTAGTAGCGTTCTTGCTCCTAGTAGCAAAGAATGCTTTGAATATTCCAAGAACCATTGATTTAAAGGTCTGAATCCCAAAGAGCCATGGTTTTACTAAGGATTGTACAAAACCAGTACAACCATTCTTTTGATGGTCGAACTGAAGGCTAGGGATTGCGTAAAAGCTGCTTTGTCTGACATGCATCCAACATTTTTGACATGTTTTCTTTGTGTTCATCAAGGAACTGGTCGTTGCTCCGATGTCAGGGTCGATGTTAGGGGTGACGATAGACGTGACACTAGATGTGACGCTAGTAGTCATGCACTTCTCGTTTTTCAGGGGGGTCACCGGAAGCATGTGAAGCATCACAGTGTCCTTCTGGAAGCTGTTGGGTTGAAGACGTTCGGACGCTATGAGGTACAGGCCATCGCCATCGCTACTAGTAGCGTTCGGATGCTATTTTGCTTGGAACAAGAAGCTACTATTGTATAGGTTTGGAGTGAAGATGCCTATATTTTACTTTATTGATCTCTTCATATGAAGCAACATGCAGTTCGCGGGTGCCCTGCCTGACTCAACACATTCCGTTTTTGTCCTCTTGAAACGGGAACTCTCGTGGACGGGGCTCTTTGGAGTTCCGCTCTTTTCCTCGCGTCAGGTGATGGGCATGGAACTGCCTGGGGCTGAGCTAGTCCTCATCGCGGTTGGTCCTTCATGAAACCTGGGGCTGAAGTGCAGCTGGTTTGAGATTTTTGGCCTGTGAGTCACAGCCGTGAAAGGTACAGCTCGTAATAGATAATTGCTCATAGTAGTAGGGCCAGGAGCCCCTAGTAGCTTCTTGTTCCTAGTAGCGATGCCAGGAGCTTTTACTAGCGTAATTGCTCCCAGTAGAGATGGAAGGAGTTATATAATAAGATAGACAATTTTCGGTAAACATGCAGACTTCTTGACTGATTTTTTTTTCAGAATTGTTTGACCAGTCAAGATTCCAAGATTCCTTTTGTGCGTTTAGTGAAAGGAGCTTCTTCTACGTTTATGCAACACTTGATCGAAGTATATCATTGGAGACTGCTCCACCTTGCACCGATGGGAAACACACACTCTTCGCGTCCCTGTGGCTATTGACCTTTTTGGAATCATGTACGATGTGTTCCAGAAATAGGGGTGATGATATATTATATATAGTAATATAGTATTTTACGGAGAAGCAGTTATTTTGCGATAAAACCACAAGGGACGTGCAGAACATTCGTGTCTTTTTGTTGAAAGCTGGTTTTCTATCGGATATTATATTTCATAGTGCGACTATATAGTTAACCACACATTTCCAAAAAGTTCATCGTCTAGACCCGATCGTCTAGACCAGAAACCCTTCTAGACATCTCGAAAATAGATGATTTTATTGTTCGTGGATGGCTGCTTCAACTTATTCTTTTTGTAGAATTGGTCACACATTCACAACACTGAAAGGCCTTGAGAGTTGAGAGGCCTTTTTGTCACCACCACCACCCTCCGGACGGAGGCGCTATGGGCTGCAAGATGCCACCACATCGCTGGCCACTCGAAACGCGGGAAGAAACCGCAAGGAATTCATGGAGGTGGGTGATTGGAACAACCATGGTGGGTGTTGTCATCGCAGAATATGGACCCGAACCAAAAGGTATCATTGGATTGTTGGGTTGGTGGACCCATGCGTTTCTTTTGGCTTGGAGTATCCGAATGGGATTCCGAACGAGGTCGGAAAGGGTCGGGAGGGAGTAATTAGCCCTGACAGTCATGCAGCATTCATGAGTCGAAGCAGAGCGAAGTTCGACTGGCTCAGGGGTTGGAATTTCGAACGCTTCACGGAGGGAGATTTCGGGAAGATTTGGGGTCGGATGTATTTTAAAGGAAGGACCTAGAGGGGCGATTCGAGTGATTGGATGATTGCGCTTGGATTCCAAGCAATTGTTTTTAACATTGGTCTTTGCCAAACATTACCAAACAACAATTCTTAGGACTTGAGACTCAGGTCAACCATTCTTTTGAATGGTCGAACTGAAGGCCAGGGATCCAGTTTAGAAAGACAGGACAAGATCTCTTAGGTGTTCCACCAGAAGAACATCGACAGATATACGGCCATCGAGCACCAGCATTGAGCCTCACCCCGACAAAACAAATCTAGTGGTGGACAGCAGTTCTACATAGGACCTGTTTTTGAGCTCTGACTCCACGGTTTGTGCACCTTGTTGTGCGAAGAACACCCCTTCAGACAGACGCACGCATGCGCCGAACGCAAAGCTCTGCAGGCCTTACCTTGTGAGGGCAGTGGCTGCATCCATGTCGCTGTCCTGCGGCCTGTGGTGACGCAGGTGCCAGGTCGTGGTTGGAGTGTCACCAAGCGATTGTCTGCTTTGACATCGCAGGGTCCAGATGGAGTTGGGGTGTGGGAAGCTGAAATCGAGTTGGTTTTGGTTTCCTTCACAGCACCAGTCAGTCGGCCATGCTCTGCCTCCTAGCATTCCTGAGTTTTGGTGATGGCTTTGAGGCCGTTTTTGGTTGGTTTTCCCTTTCCAAGATGCTGATTCCAGGTGACCAGATCTCTTCCAGAGGGTGGCGGCCCAGTGGACTTCGAGGCCCGCTAGAGCGACAGAAGCATGACACAGAGGACGCCAGGCTTCAAACGAAGAAACAGAAGTGACTTAAGCTATGGCTCAAAAGCAGAGTACATTCCAATCCATGGACCTGTGGAAAAAGAGAATCGTTTACAACCTACAGATTCCTGAATCTGACTTCTTAGATGCCTTTCTGAGCCATACCCACCGCCAGGTGGCTGGCGTTGACTCAGCTGCCAAAGGTCCAGGGACTCAGCTGGACCTTCGACTTGCACGTGGGGACCACGAGGATGGTCCCCCGGTGGCCAGGGGTTCGGGGTCCTCTCAGGTTCCAGCCCGGGCGCCACGGGTTCCGGCGCCACGCGCCACAGGTGGTGGGAAGTCGTTCCGAACACCACGGAGATCGCAGCACAAAGGGCCAAGCACGACTGCCCGGGCTTTTTTTCAGATCAACGAAGGAGAGACCCCCGTGTGTTCATCGTCCATCGTTTTCCACGGACCACCTGAGGCTTGATCTCCATTCTCTGCCGTTTCCGGCATGTGGAACTGACGCGTTTGGGGCTGATGGCGACGAAGCCCTACATGACCAAAGGCATCTTTCAGGACGTGCGGACGGTGAGACATGAAAGGCATGATGGGCACCCTCGACTTGACCCTAGGAAATCATACAGACGATGTACGGTCATGCCGTCCCTTCACTCGAGTATATCTTCAGCAGGAAAAGCATCACCAGGTCGCCCGTGGAACTCTCGTTCACCTCACCCATGGGGGGCTTTGACCAATGGACTTGTTACTGTAGTCGGTAGGACCAAGGACCAAAGCTCTCCAAGTTACCTTATAGATGCGCCAAAAGCAGACCAGTTGTTCCTTCCAGGACTACAAGGTGACTTGCCCAGCACCCAATTGGTCGGAGCCTCAGAATTGGCGCACTCAGTGCAAGGCGCCGAGTGCCATCCACTTTTTTAAAAGGCCCCCTCCTGGCACGCATCAAAAAGAAGGGTTTGGACCGGCTTGGTCGGATTTGGGGTCTCTTTCCCTTCTTCCAGGGTTCTTCAGTCGGACCTTCAACCCTTATTTTCACACTCGAGATGTGTTCACTGCTCGAGGAACACCTCTTTGGAAGGAGGCTTCGGTGGCTCCGGCAGAGCTTAGACTGAGTTTGTTTTCTTTTTTCAGTCGCAGGTCTCACTTCATCTCAACCGGGTGTTCTTTACTTTTTTTCAGAGCCGGCCAGCCTGGCTAGAATGGGGGTTTGGGTGGCTGCAACCGGACTGAGGAAGCACCGAGACGGCTGTTCTTTGGAGATGCAAACATCAAACCGACCTCAGGACCTCAGAAGGATGATGAAAGGAGAGACAACTCCACATTACATGAGCTGGTTGATCACATCAACCATGGTTTTCACATCAACATACATCAACCATCAACCTCAAAATCAAGGGACCTCAGAACCAGCTCAAGCTGCTCCTGGGAGATGCTTCTTGGGAGATTTTGGGTCTCATACTCATACCTTGAACGTGGCAGGTGCTGGTCTCACCTACCGCAGCGATGAGGCCGGTGACGGAAGAGGTTTGGGTCGTTGACCAGTATGGCGCACGTCGCTTGAGATCCCGTCCAACATCGGCGGTTCTGACCGAAGAACAACACATCAATTGGTTTCCTGGTTGGGACAGGGATTGGTCAACCAGGTTGAAGAGTGGGATTGGTCTGACACCGTTTTGTTTGACCCAAGCACGCACCAGCAGTTCCATATGGAGGACAGGGTGCTGATCCATGGAATAGAGGTGCCCAGAACATCCACAGGATGGGTCGCCACAAAACCACCACGACAAGAAACTCTCACGACGAAGTGCTCTTCAGTGTGCCAGTGGCGACAGGGCCCAAATTCGAGGATGCAATGAATGGGCCAAAATAAGCTGTTCCAAGTGGCTCCTCGAGTTCACATTCCTTTTGAGGCCTGGCAGTGGCTAGTGGATTTTGCCATGGATAGCTTCTCAGACAGCTGGCTGCCCACGGCCGCGGCGGAGGCGCCTCCCTTGGCTGGACACGAAAGAGTTGAAACGTCTGGAGATTCCTCGTGCCACCTCGGTTTCATTCCCAGACCATCCATGTATCATGTATATATATATATTTATTGCATATTTAGAGAACATTTACACATAGCTCAACTGAAACTCAACACTGTTATACATTTAACCTCAAAGCATCTGACAACAATCACCCCTCAAGGACATGGATTATTAGGGGATTGTTGTTCTTCAAATCTTTGAAGACGCAACTGGATCAGAGCTGTTTTCGGTTGCACCCCAAAGGCGTCGAAGCGTTGCAGACCGGACATCCCTGGGGTCGAAACCCGCTCCTTTGCAGGTGAACGTCACTCGGATCTTCCAATACAATCCAGCCCCCAGCGGCGGCCTCAGACGGTCCCAAAACACAAGAAGGGCGAACAACAAGGGGCTGCGGAGCAAGTGAGGTGCAAAGGAGGGCGGGAGCAAGTCAAGATTTTGTCTACTTGAGTTCAGTCTACTGAGCCGTCTTTGCTACAGGATACTATAACTGTAACTACTTAGCAAATCGTAGCAACATCCAAAAGAACACCATTTTTGTTACCATTCACCAGGTCTTCGTATTCCCTTCATCCAACCGGGGGAATGAAAGCGAACCGCTTGTTCGACACAGCAGTCGTGGAGCAAGCCGCGTGGTCCATCGAGGCGAACTCGATCCCTGGACGCCCATGAGCAACGTCACGCCCGAGGTGGACATGAGCGTGGTGGGCGTCTTCGTCTTCGTCCTTCCGTTTCTGAGGTCTTTGATGAATTTTTTGGGGAGGTGAACACAACACTTCATGAGGGGTGCGGGTGGTTCTCTTCCCATGCTTCTGATATTTTGGACTCCATTTTCTGCAAAATACGCTGGAATCTTCCCAGACACTTGGGTCCTCCAACTGTGCGCCGCGGCGTGTTGCGCCATTTTTTGGCGCAGCAGCGCTTCGGTCAGTGGCACCAGGTGCCTCCGAACTCCACCTGCCGCGGCCCTGGTGCGTTCTGCGCGCTTTTTGGGCGGAAAGGAAGGGCCTCCGTCGAAAGCTGGTGGCATTGAGTGGAGTGTGTGTGCAGATATGTAGGGAGACCACGGGAATCTCTGTGAACATCACATGAGTCAAGTAGAAATACATGCGAACTCAACCCGGCAGATCAGGACACATCGACCAATGCGTCAGATCGACTAACCCGAGGAGTTAGTCTTTGTTTTTTTTTTCTGGTTGCGGTTTGAAGAATTTGGGTCCCCTCCCAGGGCGGAACACTCAGCAGGGCGGAATGTATCGGTCCATCGGTCCGGGACCATGAGTGCCATGTCGGTGTGTCTTCCGCTACTAGTAGCTAGGGGCATCGCTACTAGTAGCTTCTTAAGTTACTAGTAGTAAGGCCAGGAGCCCCTAGTAATTTCTTGCTACTAGTAGCGATGCACCTTGCTACTAGCAAGAAGTTGGTCCATTTGTCCGGTACCATGAGTGCCATGAGTGCCGCCGCCGAGGTTGGTGGTACAACCATTCCTCTAAGGACCGCCAGTGATGTGTGGTCCGGGCGCCACGGGTTTCTAATGGGTTTGGACTGACGATGTTCCACGTTCAAGCAGATCATTTTCGTGACCTAGTCATACAGGAACGCAGAACCGCCCTGTTTTTTTTGGATTGTAGATCTGGTGAGGTTAACTTTTCGGCGCTTGGTTGAACAGAGTTTGAACAGAGTTGGATAGAATCCACCGAACTGAAGTTGAGGACAACGGCTTTCGAAGTTGCCTGGCTTATGAAGAGACTATTAGGTGGAGGCCATCGCAAGTAGGTTGGAGGCCATCGCTACTAGTAACTAGAAGCTACTAGTGGCTCCTGGCATCGCTACTGGTAACAAGGACGCCATTAAAACGGCCGAAAACGACTGAAGACGACCCCCGGACGACCGAACGACGGACGAGCGCCAGTGGGACGACGGACACGGAGCCGTCCGGACGAAAGGCTCGAAAAGCGACTTGAAACGAGCGCATGAGAAAGCTTGAACAACACCAAGTTAGCCAAGTTCTTTTGTTTTTGAAAGCTCGAACGCTCCTAGTTTCCGAGGTGTGGTTGATGAACAAAGTATGGTATTTTTTTAAAGGGTTTGTGAGCTTCAGGATGTGCACATTGCCACCGGACCTCTTCAAGAAGCCGTCGAATCACTTGTACCTGCACTGCTGCTGGGGGTCCGCTTCCCCAGCTATGCCGGTTTACTGCAACGCGCCGTTTGGGAAGCGGGTGGGAGCACGCGGGTGGTTTGCCGACCACGTCAAGCACCCGAAGCTTTCAGGGTCGTTTCTTTCATCCGCTTCTTTTGGGCTCCATTTTTGGTTCCACCCAGGTTTTGAGGGTGAAAAAAGAGGGTTGCTGTTTCTTTGGCTACTGCGTGGGCGGACACATCTTGTCTTACCTCTGTGGTCTCATGTCGACCGAAAAGCCTCAAAGACCCCCCCACTTCTGAGCCATTTTTTCCAGCAAAAGTGGGCCATGTGAGGCCCCTAGTAGCGTCCTTGCTCCTAGTAGTAAGGCCAGGAGCCCCAAGTAGCGTCCTTGCTCCTGGTAAGGCCAGGAGCCTCTAGTAGCTTCTTGCTCCTAGTAGTAAGGCCAGGAGCCCCTAGTAGCTTCTTGCTCCTAGTAAGGCCAGGAGCCCCTAGTAGCTTCTTGCTCCTAGTGAGGCCAGGAGCCCCTAGTAGCTTCTTGCTCCTAGTAAGGCCGAGCCCCTAGTAGCTTCTTGCTCCTCCAGGAGCCCCTAGTAGCATCCTTGTGCTAGTAGCGATGCCAGGAGCCCCTAGTAGCGTCCTTGCTCCTAGTAAGGCCAGGAGCCCCTAGTAGCTTCTTGCTCCTAGTGAGGCCAGGAGCTTCTAGTAGCTTCTTGCTCCTAGTAAGGCCAGGAGCCCCTAGTAGCTTCTTGCTCCTATTGAGGCCAGAGCCCCTAGTAGCTTCTTGCTCCTAGTAAGGCCAGGAGCCCGTAGTAGCTTCTTGCTCCTAGTAAGGCCACCCCTAGTAGCTTCTTGCTCCTAGTAAGGCCAGGAGCCCCTAGTAGCGTCCTTGCTCCCAGTGAGGGTGGCACCATGCTTTGCAATGGAACTGGTGATGGAGCAGGCGCATCGCGGCGCATCATCCGGTGTTATCGCCGGCGCATGGGGATGGACATGGGCTTCGAGGAACCCAGACGGACCGACGGTCACCCGAATCACGTGAGGACGAAGCGAATTGAGAGGTTGTAGTGTTCGTTTCCAAACCAAGCCTTAACTGTGAAGCTCTCGTTATTTTTTTGGAATGGGAGGTGATAGTGAGCCAAACCTGTACAGTGTAGAACAAGCTGGCCGGAAAGCTAGCATACGTTTAGGAGAACTTGCCAAAGCTGTAGAAAAAGTTGGGCCCAAAAGCTAGCACACGTTAAGGAGAACTTATCAAAACGCCTAATATATATATATATATATACATATTACATATTGTTGGTGGAACCGCTATATCATTGACCAATCCTTCATGTTGGTAGGCAACTGTTCACTGAAGCCTCCTTCAGCCCAAAAGGCTCCAGACGTCCCCGTTTCAACTGGAGAACACGGCTTCACCTTCACCTCCCGACCGCCACTGAGAAATCCGGGTGGACGCAGTCGACCCGCGCGAAGCAAGCGACCGCCCTTGGGCGTCAGGTTTACAGCCGTGGTCTGGCATGGGCACCAGTCCAGGTGCCCAGCGGTCGACCGCTGACCGGGGTCTTGTGGTCGACCGCCACGTGAGAAAAGAATGAAGTTAGGTGTAGAACTGAGTGGAACCGAGTGGAACTTGCAATTTCCAGCTTGACATGCGGACTTTAGACCGGGATCAACGGATCTTGATGGGCTGGGTGTTCTGTCTCCGCAGGATCTCCCGCCTTCAACGGCTCGCAGCAGATGATCTCGGGATTAGATCTGCGGGCGAACGACACCGGGCTTGGGATCTCAGGATCGGCTGTGACTGTTCTTGCGAATCCAGTTCTGTCCGAAGGATGACATGGATGGCTCAGCAGGGATGCTGTTCAAAGATGCACCCTGCTCGTAGGTCTCGATCTCGGTCGCGGGTCGCGGGTCGCCGACCGAGGTCGGTGCTACGGCTTCAGGGGAAGTCGCTTTGGGGAACCAAGGCTGGACGAGTCGAGCGGAACCATGTCGGCATTGAGGGCCCCTAGTGACTAGTGTGCGAGGAGCATTGGAGAGCATTGGAGTTTTTGTGCACCAGTGCACCATCCTTTTGTTTTGTTTTTCATCCTTCGTTCTGAACACCTGCGGCCTTTTTGGACACAGCTATAGTCCATGACTCCGACTTTCCAGAAACTTCACTAAGACTAAGAACCAGCTTTCCCACTTGCCAGTGCCTGAGACGGATGGTTTGAGGTGATGGGACGAGAGATGCAGCAAGGCTCACCGATGGGTTGAGATTTTCCCACTGCAGACGTGTCGGAATTGGCGAGTCGTGGATTTCTTTCGGAATTCCATATTGAATTCATTTGGGAAGAACGACCATCCGATGGTTTGAGCTGCACCGCGGCTCCGCCCCCCCCGAGAGGGCGGCTCCGCGAGATGTCTCGCGAGAGTTCTCGCCGACCGAGCCGGCTCCGCAGAACTCATGCCCACGTTCGGGATGTTTCCACAGCAAGTGGAGATTGGAGACCTTCCGGAGGCGCGAGGAGGTCTTGCTGTTTCGCTTGGGGTGTTGCGTCCTTCTTTTGGTTTGCGAATTGGAATCGAATGACATCTCAACACCTTTGAAGTTGGTTGATTGCTTTTGAATCTATAGATTGAAATCACACCTTCTGCTGGCAGGTTCTTTGTTGATTCTTGTCCCTTGAAGACCGTGTGAGTGTGGTAGCTTCGGCCGGTGTTTCAGGTGTTTTAGATTCAGCCGCTCTCTCTGTCTCTCTCTCTCTCTCTGTCTCTCTCTCTGTCTCTCTCTCTCTGTGTCTCTCTCTGTGTCTCTCT